CCCCTGTGAGGAAGCCCCTCTGCCCACCACAGGCCCCGCTTGGTTCCACCTCCCCAGGGACGGCTCTGCGGCCCCCGTGCTGACACCCTGCTTCCCACCGCGCACACGCACCCTGGGGCACTTCCACACCAGGGGGCTGCAGCACCCACGTGCTGGGGAGCGGGTGGGGAGGCAAGGGGTCCCCGGGGGAGTGAGGAGCCCAAGGAGTGAGCCGGGACAGCAGCCCCTGCTCTCCTCCCCAGCTCAGGGGACCACGTGCTCAGCGCCGCTTGCCCCTCCAGCACTGTCTCTACACCCGCGTTGACACGTGTACCAACACCCGCCAGACAATAAAGGTTTATTCTACAGGGCGACGCCTCCGCCTCACGTCCTTCTCCCCGGCTGCACCGCTGCTTTGTGCACGCCATAGCGCCCGGGGCAGAGCTGGCAGCCCTGCCCGCTCCTGGACCCCTCTGCCTGCAGGCCACTGCTCATCCAGCTGGGGGGAGATGTGGAGCCTGTGCCACTCCTCCTGCTCAGGGTGATGCCCAGAGCTGAAGGGCACCATTGGTGTCCCACCCTGCCCAAGGGCTGTCGGCTCGCTGCCCCCGCTGCCCCAGGCCTGGCACGGGGAGAAGACCCCATCCTGCCACCGAGGCTGTGCAGAGCCGGGTCTGCGGGTGGCACAGCTGTGCCCTGCTCCCTTCCCCGGCCAAGGGCTGGGTGCCCCTGCCAGGCCAGCAGAGCCACTGGGCTTCAGCTCAGCACTACAGGATTCACTCGTGGGCTTCTACCTGTCCCCCTGCACCCTGTGACAGCAGCTCACCCCAGGCTGTGGTGCCCCATCCGTTGCTCCAGGGAGGGGCTGGCACAGGAACAGCAGGGTTGGCCCGTGGGATGGTTTGTCAGCTCAGCAGTGGCTGTGATCTTGCCATCCCCTCCCGACTCTGGGGCACCCAGCTCCTCCCAGCACCCGGTACAGAGCTGTGTGTGAGCCCTCCCTGGAAAGATGATGCAGCGCAGCCGGTTGTAAGCAAGTGCTTTACTGGGGGCTTGACATGAGACAACCCTGCTGGGGTGTAAAGCCATACCGCCCCAGGGGCAGCTCTCCCACCTCCGGGACTCAGCACATCTACCCTCAGCACCTGGGGCTTTCTGCTGAGGGTTTCATCCTGTCCACACAGGTAGGATACCACTGCCCAGCGCCGGAAGTCAGCCAAACATCGGGGCGCAGCGAGGGAGCACAAAGAACATAGCTCCTCCCAACTGGCCAGGGATGCTGGGCTGCAGGGGAGGGAGGGCAACAACAGCCACACGGGACCCCCGGAATGTCCACAATGCCCAGGAAGCCCCTGCTTGAGGCTGGAGGCGCTCAGGGCATCCTTGGGGCAGAGGCTACACAGCACCGAGCAACAGCGGTGGCACTTTTGCCACACCATGGCACCGTTCCCAGCTGCTGTAACGCCCTCATCCCCGTGCACTGGGGACTGGCTGCAGGACCCCCTCCCAAGCCCGGCACACCTCACTAGAGGTCTGGGTGTTCTTTCTTGTCACCTTTGGGTGGAGTCCTGCTGTCAGCAGCGTGGCGGGGTGGCAGGGTGGGCAGAGGCCTGGCAGGGGCAAACCGGAACTCCTCAGGCACGGGGGCATCAGGCATCTCCTTGCGGTAGAAGCCCAGCTCCTGCACCAGCTGGTTGATCTCCTCCCGGGTCATGTCGCTCAGGGGGATTCTCTGCCCACAGACAGGGGTTGCAGCCTGGTGCCTGCGGGACACTGGCCACCCCAGACCCTTCTGTGGTGGCACACGCCACGGTGCCCACTCACCTCCAGCTCCTCGTACCGGTGGCTGAGGAGCACAAGCTCGGGGTCAGCGCCGGGCAGGTGTTTCATCTCCAGGTTATGGCTGGGCAGCGCGTTAAGGGGCACACAGTACTGGGCAGGCCTGTGCAGCCCCCCATCCCATCCTGACCTCCGTCACACCCTGTTCCCTCCCATCCCATCACACCCCATCCTCCATCCCATCCCATCCTGCCCTGTCCCCATTCCACCTCATCCTTCACCGCATCCCATCTCATCCCGCCCTGTCCCATCAGAGCCCCAACCATCCCGCCCTCCACCCCGCATCCAATCCCATCCTTCCTCTCATC